CTCAAACCAGTTTGAATGTAATCGGAAACACGTTGTATTCATTTGAAGGAAAAACAGATTGTAGGAGTGTTGTAAATTTGACCTCTCTACAGTTGACAACATTTGATCTCAACGTCGTCGGTCACCAATATGGAAATGGATAAATTTATAAATAATAATTTCCATCTGTATAAAAATAACTTAAAATTATTTGACTACAAAACTATAGAATTGTCATGACACTTTGTTTTCTATTTATATCTGATGCTAAGGCTCACTTAATTCTAACAGTTTTCTATATTAGTGCACTTAAATTAACCAATCTATTTTCTATTCTATCTATTTTAATATTTACTCATATTTATTACAATTTAGACGAGAGGTTCTTAGTACAAGAGGTAGACACTTGGTCTTGCGTGCAACTAGGTAGTAGTGATATCTATTTTTAGTGAATCTAGTGGATTTGGAATAGATTTTTATATATCACAATTATAGAGGGCAACCGTGGTGTAGTCTTCTAATAGATATCTTTAAAACCAGAAAGTTTGGTTATTACAAAACCAAGTACTTAATATATTTATATAACTGTAGCAATAGAAGTTGGCGTTGGTTTAGACCAGTTTAGATGCAGGATAAAAACAAACAAAACCTGATCTTGTATTAAACAAAATAATTCACTTAATGACACATTGCAATAATATTTACAAATTAAGGAATATATCAGCAATTCATCAATTTTATTTTAATACCATAATTACTATTGATCACCTTTACTGATGTAGAAGTTCTCTCCTTATTAGCAGCCAGAACAATAGCTTATAAATTGCTTTGGCCTTTGATGATAAATATATTATTTCAATCTATTATTTTTTACTCTGTATCTCAAAATAATTTTTCAGCCCTCCAACTATTTGTCCTGTAATAGTTGACTGACTGCTAAAATGCATTCAATTAATTCTGATGCTCTTTGCAGAGATCACATGCTCACAGCGTTTAGTTGATCCCTACATGCCAGCACTGCCAAAAACCTCCAACTTGGGAGTTGCGATTCCATTTTAGATTCAATTAGTCATGATTTTATCTTAAATGCAACTAGGGCAGGAAATTAGGTCTGTTGAAATATTATTTTGGGGTTATGAATAGCTTTACTGGAATAAATGATGATGGTATTTTTAAATGAACGCTCTAAATAAGGAGTCTTTAATGTAATGTCCAAAGTATCAAGTTACGTAGTATTAATATATATTTTTGAAACTATTATGGAAGAACATTTCAGAAATATTGAAGCAAAGAGTACTATAATTTAAATTGTGCTTTATATTTGTCACCGTTAAAACTCTCAGCTCGTAATCGTTAGTGGAGAATGCGCAAAGTTTATCAATATAATTTTCCAACTTCAACTTAGAATTTATAATGCCTCTGTTGTGTAAATAACGACTAGTTTCGAAATTTGCTAAAGTGAAATATTCTCTCTGAAACATCGCGCTTATGCAGAACTCGAATTACGCCATGCATCAAGCGACGGGACTTCATAATATCAAAATGTTGACCAGAGGTTCTAAAAATGGTGGGAAATGATAGAAATTATATTAAACTGATATGTAGTGATCTGCACTAATAAACCACGATGAAACAATTAGTAAACGACGACAAAATGTGACTTCTAGGGAATCACTATTAGAAAATAAGTGGTTCTCGTTGCTCCTTATTTTTATTTGGTTAAGTGCACAACAAGTAATGTGGAAAAATATTTTAAAATTTTTAAGCCAATATCTTTTATTTGAAAATTATGGGCATCTAAGTAAAACTTAGAGCTTTGGTTACAGGGGTTGATTTTGGACATCAAAAAATAGTTTTTGGTCATTTGGATGATCATTCTTCGCTCACTGACGGTTGCACTTATAGAACCACTGCTTTAGTAACATCTGCTCGAGTTCTTAGCAAGAATGGTGTCTAAGAATCTAGAATCATCAACAAAATAGTCCTTGGACATATCAATTACCATTTTTCGCTCACTGGCAGTTGAACTTGTAGAACCACAGCCTTAGCAACATCTGCTCAAGTTCTCAGCAAAAATGATGTCGAAGTATCTAGAATCATCAAAAAATAGTCCTTGGACATATCGACAATCATTTTTCCCTCACTGGCAGTTAAACTTGTAGAACCACTGCCCCAGCAACATCTGCTCGAGTTCTTAGCAAGAATGGTGTCTAAGAATCTAGAATCTGTATTTCTTCAATCATTCATCCTCCAACTAGTATATTCTCAGACCATTAATCGCCAACTTCATAATTATCTTCCTAGCATCTCCAGTATTTATTCTGGAATAATTAAAATAGATCTCCGAGCGAAAATCGTACAAGCTGAAACGAAACACATGGAGAAAATGGGATTTTTGACATGTGAAGTATGACTATTGCGTATTTGAAATATCATGAACATTGCAGAGGAATTTTATATTTGCACTTGTTTATAAAAGAAAGGGAAAAATTATAGAAGTTTTGAATTGCATGAGAATGTCTAATGTTTTTTGTTTGCTTTGTTCTGTGCTCTAAATATTTCACATTGCAATATTTATTTTGTGGATTTTTTTAAAGTAATGGTATGATGAATTAGTAAGTCTAATACTATTCTGTTTACAAGAAATTTATTTTTTGACGTTTCAAGTTATTCTGAATTATTTGGAAGTTGCTTTGATTTGTTTTTAGGAAAGCAAAAATTTCTTTTTAAAACCCAACATTTTATCTGGATAGTTAAATCTAATTTCCTAGTCAACATCGAGCAACTGTCCTGAAGGTAAAAATTACTTGCATCTAGTTATAATATAAATTTACAATAATATTATATATCTAGTTTGAGACTATAACAACTTATTTTTTTCTGAAGGATTAAAATAAAACTTTTTCGTAGGTGTTGAAATAAAAAAGCACATTCAAATTATATCATCTCAACTACAATGCTACTAAAGCGGACCGACATAAATTTCTAAATTACTCCAATTAGTAACAAAGCTTTATTTTATTTCTTTCATAATAAGTATTAATTACAGAACTTTCTACGAACAAGGCCATAATTCATACCGCCATTCAAATAACCTGGAGCGAAAATTCTTACTTTGTGCAATATTTTTCTCTTGTAGAAAGGTGGTTACTTTATTTTAATTACTGCGTACTTTAAAATTATATTATGTTGAAAATGTTAATTTTATTTGTGGATTCTGCAAGATATCGTGTGATTAATGGATATTTTAAGCTAATGTGTTACTCTGCGAGAAGAAAATGCAATATTGCGATGCTGGAGAATGCAATTTTATGGGAGATATCTAAATATCGGGCAACAATTAAATTAGCATATATACATACTCTATTTTGTGAGATTATGACTCTATTCTGGAGTTTTTAATTATTTATCAACATTGACTCAAATAAATTAGTAAAAACAAATTTGAGACAGTTTTCAACTCGTTTTCTTACATTTACTTACTTGCATACTATATTTTGAGGTTTTAAGATAGACTTTATCTGATATCTTAAATTATTTTTTCATATGGAGCAAATCATACTTCTATGGCCTATATTGCAACTTTCACTCTATTTTTTTCACAACTACTCACTAGCACTTCTGAACTGTTTTTATATGAAATTTTGTAAAATATAATAATATTCGTAATATTTGAAAATTGTCTCTACTACAAAAATTATAAATATATATCTTACTTCCGCTATATATCATACTTTATTATGTGGATTTATGATTAAAATTATTTTTATAAAAATCATTTCTCAATATAAAACAGACTATTAAAAATATTTGGTTCATTTTTAACTTCCCGAAGGAGAAGTTTATGTTTTCATCAAAATATCCGATTCGCTAATTTTATGTTTTCTCGACGTTTCAAGACATTCTGAATCGAATGAGACCAATTTATGTGAGCAGCTTTTTTGCCGTAAATCGACGTTTTATCAAAAACGGTTGAACCGATTTCAAAAATTCGATTTATTTCGATGAGGACTAGCGTTTCTGAGTTTTGTGCGACGATCGGCCGATCTTGTAATAAAGTTTAAAAAAAATCGACGTTTTTTATTATTTTTTTGACAGTAGATACCATAGTTCTAGATCATACTAAAATATTATAGCCTTACGACAACTCGTTTTTACATGTTATTGCTTATATTTCTGGACTATCAGCTCTCTAGTTACATTAAGTATCATTAAAAAAATCTATCATTTTTTTATTTATAATACTTCACTAAAAATCAGTCTTTGTTATTTTATGTATTAGCTGTAATTACATGATCCACTAAATAAGTTTATGATTCTTCTCTTTAGAAATATAAGTTCATTTTATTATCAGAGCTTTTTCGTTTCTGAAGTGGTAAGAGATTTGGCCTTACCACCAAAATTTGCCACCAAGTTCTTTTTAAGCCTCAAGCAATCAAATATCAAGCAGTGGTGATATCCACATTTTTCTTGAAAATTTAGAACAAAATATGATGTAAAGTAAAATCAGTTTTATTAGAAATATATAACATCTAATAATAATATCATCTCGACGAGATCCATTCTCTGGGCATCCACTGAGTGGCCTTCTAATTATTCAAGAATAGTTTTGATCGTTGTTCATAAAATAAAAAAAAATTCAAACAAGATTCAATTGGGAAATGGCAGAAAACCCAAATTTGAGAACTAATATTTTTCAACACTTATTGTAGACAAAGACAAGAACTTTGTTGAGTATAATCATAATTAAAAATAATTTACAAATCGATAAAAAAATATTTTCACTATATAGCAAGGTAGTTATTATAAATAAAGCTTCGTTGTTTCGAATTCAGATTTAATTTATATAATTCTATTATTACCCAAACAACTCAACACGTTTCGTTGTAAACTCCTCAAATGCTGTACAAACTATTGCAATTAGTGGAGAATCGTTGAAACTAATGCAGTGAGAGATATGATAAATTATGTATGCGATTTCTAGTCGTTCTCCATGCGGAGCTTTTGCGCCAATTCAACACATTCTGCGTTACGCGCAGATAATTCAAACCGGAATTGCGGGATTTAAGGAATTAAGGAGCCTAATTAGGATAATTAATAAGTCGAGCAGCTACTGCAAGAGACTAAACGATGCTATATAGAAGCGGTTTGAGATGACATTCCAGATATCCGATATGAATGACTCACTCACTCACTGGATGCATATTACTTGCTTCTGTACAGGAAACCAGGACCAATCTTAGGAATATAGTCCAACTATCTCATACATTAGTAGCTAAAGTCATAGAATTCTGAAGTCAACTAGTAGTGACCTAAGTCAACACTTGGAAATGTAGATAGCTATATGTTTCCAACTAAAAATAGCCCAGGCCTTGCAGCTCCTGCTGGAAACCAGGACCCATCTTAGGAATACTGTTAGGCTTTCTCGTGAATTAGTAGTTGAAGTCATGGAATTTCTATCAGAGAAGGTTCGATACTTGCCTTTGGCGTCTTGATATCAACTAGTAGTGACATAAGTCAACATTTGGAAAAGTAGATAGCAATATGTTACTAACTGAAAATAGGCCAGACATTGCAGCACTTGCAGGAAACCAGAACCAATCTTTGGAAATAACCAGGCGTTCTAGAAGATCAGCAGTTAGTCATGGAATTTCAATTAGAGAACCAAGGTTCAATACTTGCATTTGGCATCCTGATGTCAACTAGTAGTAAAGTAAGTCAACACTTGGCGATGTAGATAGCAATATGTTTTCAACTAAAAATAGCCCAGGCCTTGCAGCTTTTGCTGGAAACCAGGACCAATGTTAGGTATGTAGTTAGGCTACCTAGTGGACCAGTAGTTAAAGTCATGAAATTTCAATCAGAGAACCAATGTTTGATACTTGCCTTTGGCATCCTGAT